TCTTTCTTTTTCTTTCTCTTTTTCTTTCTCTCTTTCTTTCTCTTTCTTTCTCTCTTTCTCTCTTTCGCTCTTTCTCTCTCTCTCTCTCTCTCTCTCTCTCTCTCTCTCTCTCTCTCTCTCTCTCTCTCTCTCTCTCTCTCTCTCTCTCTCTCTCTCTCTCTCTCTCTGTTTCTCTCATTCTCTCTATCTATCTATCTGTCTATCTATCTATCTCTATCTCTCTCGTTTATTGTTATCTATGTTCTTTCTAAATCTTTTTTTTTCATTTCCCCTCAAACCGTCATTATCGCTTCTTTCCCTCAAAAGTAATAATAATGATAATGATGATGATGAGGAGGAGGAGGATGGTGAATGATGATGATAGTGATGATGATGATTAGGATTATGATGGTGAGGAAGATGATGATGATGGTGAAGATGATGATTATGATGGTGCAGATTATGATGATGGTGAAGATTATGATGATGGTGAATATTATGATGATGATGGTGAAGATGATGATTATGATGGTGCAGATTATGATGATGGTGAAGATTATGATGATGGTGAATATTATGATGATGATGGTGAAGATGATGATTATGATGGTGCAGATTATGATGATGGTGAAGATTATGATGATGGTGAATATTATGATGATGATGGTGAAGATGATTATGATGGTGCAGATTATGATGATGGTGAAGATTATGATGATAGTGAATATTATGATGATGATGTTGAAGCTGATGATGGTGAAGGTGACGATAATGATAATAGTATCTCATAAAGCTAAATAAGATTCGTTTTGTTTAACAACCGCTTAAGCAACCGTCCTTGAATACAGTCCACTACAACTCCGTTTAATGAGAACACTCGTTTTATTAGATAAGTTTTGCGGTCAAGCTGGAAAATAAACTCGTAGACACTAATTAGGTTCCTCAAACCTTCTCCTTGCAACTGAAGACCTTGAATTAAAAAAAAAAAAAAAAAATGATGATAATAACAAAGTAAAAAAAATAAAATATTCCATCACTGTATTGCCACATTTTTCGGCATGACTAAACTCTACGGCAATTTTCCGCCATGTTTCAGGAAAGGATTTAGACTGTAGAAAATAAGCGATCACTTGAACACTATATTTCGGAATGTCATGCGATATAGCCATTCAGACCACCTAACGTGAGGTAAACAGAACTATGTGAATATTTCATTTCATCTGATACATTGGAAGATATACTCGTACTATACCCAAAATGTATTATGTAAAACTGCCGTAAACTAGTAACAGTGTTATGTAATCACAGTGGCAAATACATCAACGTAATATTTTTTTTGCTGATGTATTATTTATACTTTTATTTTAGTATATACAGTCACAGTAGTCAAAGAATACTGTATCATGTGAAATATATGTAAAACTGTAAACATGATTGTCCACGCCAGAGCAGATAGCCAGGGAGGTAAATAAACTTACTTAACTTTAACTAAAATTTGTAAGTTGTTGGAAATACTTTAGATTTTCTGCTTCATTTATATATAGAAAAAAAAGGTGTTTTTAAGTGAAGCAGAAGAGAAAAGGAAATATACATGTAACATATCTGAGTATGATTTGTTTACAGAAAAAAAAGGATAATTTGCATATTCATTAACTGAGTTACGAAGTTGGAAATGTATTGAATGTAATTCCTGTATATTTGTTATTCCTGCTTTCTTGAAATATAAAAAAAAAATATATATTTTAACGGGAATAGGAGAGGGTGAAAAAAATTAATAACTAGACAACTAACATGTATGAGCCTGATATGTTTATGCATAAAAATAGATGTTACTTTGCATATCCATTAACTTATTTATGAAGTTATCACGAGTGTGCTGAACACATGTATATTTCTGTATATGATTAACAGTATTCTAGGATGTATATGTTTGTGAGTGAGTATATATTTTTATGTGTGTGTTTGTGTGTGTGTGTGTGTGTGTGTGTGTGTGTGTGTGTGTGTGTGTGTGTGCGTTAGTGCGTGTGTGTGTGTGTGTGTGTTTGAGAAAGAGGGAGAAAGAGAGAGAGAGAGAGAGTGAGAGAGAGAGAGAGAGAGAGAGAGAGAGTTTAAGAGGTACTTGTACAAGAGAATATATTCATGCACGCATAAGACAAGGGATATTTAATATAGGAATCACGCCCTAAGATATGTACCTTTGATTCTTTTACTATCATTATAAAAACGACCGTTTATTGTTAAAATTATCATTACTATAATTATTACTGTTATTAGCATTGGTGTTACTGTTGTTTTTATCATCACTGATATTAGTAGTAGTAGTAGCACTCGTAGTAGTAGTTATTGTTGCTGTAATAGTAGTGGTAGAAGTAGTAATAGTTGTAGTAATAGTGGTAGTAGTAGTAATAGTAGTAATAGTAATAGTAGTAATGGTAGTGGTACTAGTAGTAACACTATTATTGATATTACTATCATTATCAATTATTATTATCACTAGTAGTAATAGTAGCATTGTTATTATCACTATTATTAGTATCATTGTTATTATCATTATACTCATCATAATCACTGTAGATATATAGGCCTATCTTAGGTACGAAAATTGTCACCTCTAAGCACGTATTGTATCATTTATATACGATTATTACTTTTGTTATACGTAAAGTGGGTTGAGTTTGTGTCCTTGTCTTTCTGTTTTTGTTTAATTGTTTGTGTCTTTCTTTGAAACTGGCTTCTTTTGTTTTCCAATCCTTCTCCCTTCCCCCACGTCTCTCTCTCTCTCTCTCTCTCTCTCTCTCTCTCTCTCTCTCTCTCTCTCTCTCTCTCTCTCTCTCTCTCTCTCTCTCTCTCTCTCTCTCTCTCTCCTTCTCTCTTCCTCTCTCCCACTTTTCCCTCACCCTTTATTCCTCTCTCTCTCTCTCTCTCTCTCTCTCTCTCTCTCTCTCTCTCTCTCTCTCTCTCTCTCTCTCTCTCTCTCTCTCTCCTTCTCTCTTCCTCTCTCCCACTTTTCCCTCACCCTTTATTCCTCTCTCTCTCTCTCTCTCTCTCTCTCTCTCTCTCTCTCTCTCTCTCTCTCTCTCTCTCTCTCTCTCTCTCTCCTTCTCTCTTCCTCTCTCCCACTTTTCCCTTACCCTTTATTCCTCTCTCACTCTCTCTCTCTCACTCTCACTCTCTCTCTCTCTCTCTCTCTCTCTCTCTCTCTCTCTCTCTCTCTCTCTCTCTCTCTCTCTCTCTCTCTCTTCTCCCTTCCTCTCCATCTCCCTGTACCCACGACCCTCTATTAATTTTCTCCCAATTTCACCGTAAACTGCCGCTTCCGGTCGAACCCCAGGCCTAACCCGCCGCCAATTTCACACCCAATGTATTTAATCTGCTACGCGCGTGATTGTGTTTACCTGTTTGTGTTTGGGTTGTTTATTTGTTTGTGTTTTTGGTTGTTTGGTTGTTTGTGTTTTTGGTTGTTTGGTTGTTTGTGTTTTTGGTTGTTTGGTTGTTTGTGTTTTTGAGGTTATTTATTAGAGGAGCTGAAGAGAAAGACTGAGAGAGATACAGATCGGTAAATGGTAATAGGGAGAGAAAGAGAGAAGGAAGGAGGGAGAGAGAGAGAGACAGAGACAGAGACAGAGACAGAGACAGAGACAGATACAGAGACAGAGACAAACAGACAGATAGGTAGACAGACAGACAGACAAAGAGACGCACAAAAAAAATATATATATATATAAAACAATAAACAGATACAAATAAACGAAAAACAGAGAAAAGGGGAACACCCCTTAATCTCCCTCCGCCCCCCCCTCCCCTCCCCTCCCCCCCTTCACCCTTCTTTCCACCCCCTCACCCCCTTCCCCCCCTCACCCTCCCCCCTCCCCCCTAATCCCGACCACCTGCCGGGAAGGAGAGGCTTGTGAGCGACACCGGCATTCCAGATTCTCAGATTCAGGAATTTTCTTACAAGATTTCCTTACAAGAAGTTATCCTTTGTTTGTCGCCAAGGAATTGAGGTTTAAATGGAGATCGTCGCCTGATTTCAAAGTTCAATTTCACTCTTGGTATTTGTGTTTGTTTGTTTTTTTGGAAATCGCTTCTCAAGGATAGTGGTTGGGTTTGAATTTCTTAACCGTGGGTTCAGTAGCATTATTATATTAGTTTGAAGAAAAAAAAAACATTACCGCCTAACGGAAGGCAAAGAGAATAGTAATGATATTTTAAACCGTATTATGATAATGGTAATAACAATAACAATAGAAACCACACTATCAAATATATTCGAGATATTCATATTCAAAATCATAAATACACTAATAGCTAAAATTAAGAAAAAAGAAACTGACGATGTTCATTTGTTCCCCAAGTTGCTTGCTTGTGGTTCGAATATATTATCTAATCCTCTATCGCTCCTTTGAAGTACTTATAGTTAATTCCTACCATAAGGTACAAATCTCAGCAGTTGATATCAGTTGCAAAAGAAAAAGAAAAAGAAAAATGACCAAAAATAGGTACAGCTGAGAAAAAAAAAAAAAATGTTGAAAAAAGATAGGTAGAGTCGACACGCCCCTCCTTCGGACTGGCATAATGGCGGCCGCAATATCACCGATTGTCTTTCGCGCCGCTCAAAAATGGCCCGTAATTCTCTCTAACCTTGACTTTCTCTCCGTGGCGATTGTCTCTTTTCTTGTCTTGTCGTTTTTTGTTGTTGTTTATAGTTTACAGTTACGCTAGAGCATTTTGTTTTCGTGGCTAGTATTACTCTTGTAGGTAGGATGTAACGGTGTTTCGATGTTGGAACACGGTCGAATTTGCAACGGGATTTTCAAAAAGATTAATCCAAAAAAAATAAAAGACGAGATAATTGCGAAGATTAAACGGGAATAAAAGACAAGACATGAAGAATACGATTTTTCACATATATACTTTTTATGTCACGAGTATAGGAAAAAATGTGTGCGTATGTGTTTAATATGTCTTTGTACGCGTATGGCATGTGTATATATACATGTGCCTGTTAGTTTCTGCTTATG